AGAAGATGCAGAGGTCATCTCGATCCCCATCCTGCAGTCAATCATCGAGGGAGATGAGAGATTTGTCGGAGTTGATGCAGCAGATCTACGGAAACTTGTGGGCTGTTGCGGGTTGTTTACTAGCTTGGCTCGGAAATCGGAATCACAGGACACCGGGACGGTCGCTGAAGCTTTCGTACGTAATGTACGCGCCAAGACGGCCGTTTCGGCCGAAGCTCTAGAGAAGGAGGCACATCACAAGGTCTTATCGTTGAGGGGCACGGCACCTGTGTACAGATGGCCTACCAGACGGGCTCGGTTGTTGGCACATGCTGGTGACGACGGAAAGCTGAGGGAGAGAGCTGAAGAGGCAGAGAGAGTTAGATGGATCAGGTCTTTGGCTGTGCTGCTATACGTAGGTCGAACTCCCATCAGCCTTGACTTCGGCAATGCAATGGAGCTCGGGGAAAGTAGACGGGTAGGCAAAGGACGGAGGCCCTCCACGCTCAGGAAGCACGTGAAAACTTGGGAGAAATTCGTTCTCTGGTTGAAGGGTGCTTACAACATCGAGTGGCCCGAAGCTCCTTGCCATTTCATCGACTATTTAGAGGAGCGTGCATCGGAACCATGCGGCAAGAGCATCCCGCTCAGCTTGTTGAAAACGTTGATGTTCATGGAAAGCTCTGCCGAGGTGCCGAAAACGGCACAGATTTCTAATCATCCAGCGGTCTCCAACTCCATGCAGGAAATCACGCGTTTCCTCGAAACAGCGTCCCCTTCAGAAATTAGGAAAGCCAACATGTTCCCGGTCAAAGTCGTGATGGCGTTCGAAAGGGCCGTCACGGACAACTCGGAGCGCAAGTTCGTCAGGGCAATGGCGTGGTACAAGTTGGTGAAGGTCTGGGGGGCCTTAAGGCATTCAGATGCTCAGGGCGTGGACTATGGAACCATGAAGCTTTCGTCGCGCGGGTTGGAGGCGGTCCTCGCGCGGACCAAAACTACAGGTCCAGGGAAATCCGTCAAGAGGGTGAAGTTCTACATCTCCAAGGACGCTTGGATTGGGATCCCTGGGTGGCTGGGGGTAGGTTGGGAGATCTGGGATGAACTATCCCGAGAAGCTTCCCTTACCGAGAGAGATTTCCTCTTGCCAGTCCCAGGGTCTTCACTGGAATCCTTGACGAGGAAGGTAGCTTCGTATGCGGATGCTGCCGCACTCTCGAAGGCATTGCTTTCGAACTTGAAATCCGGAGAGGGTCCCGGGCATCTGCTGTTGCCGGGGATGGCCGCAATGTGGACTGAACATTCGGAGAGGGCCACATTGAGATCATGGGCAGGTGCAGCAGCAATATCACCGGGATCGATGAAACGCCTGGGTCGATGGAAACAGGATGTTGATGAAGGATATGATCGAACAGATCGGGCGGAGGTGGAGAAATCCCAAGCCAAAATCGCATCGTTCATTCGCTCGTCGAGGGGTAAGGTCGACCAAGTCGACGAGGAAGGGCTGTTGGCTAAGATCGCGTCGAGGGCGAGCGAGCAAGGATTTGAACCGACCGTGGCAAGCGAACAGCTTATGCTTTTGAGTTACTTCGGGCCGGACACCGACCCAGTGACGGAAGACACCGAGCAGTTCGAATCAGCATCGGACTCGGAAGGTGTCGTCGAAGTCAGGTCCGACAATGAAGCCCTGGAAGATAACCCGAAGCCGGATGCTCCGGCAAATGAAATTCGAGGCAAGTTCTTCGTTAGCGTTGTCGGTCGGTCTAGGCAGAAGACGCTTCACAGATCCGGGGAGTGCTATCGCGTGCCGGGAATCCACTACAAGGAGTTTCTCGATCTCGGCGATCAATGGCCCGATAAGACTGCGTACCACAAAGCTTGCAAGGTTTGCTTCCCCAAGCAAGTCGGCCCCAGCGGAAGCGACGACAAGGAATCTTCCTCCTCGGAAGACGAGGTGAGCTCCTCCGACTCGGGGTCGGTGGAGGGTTGAAGCGAAATGCGCCCGATAAAGAATCTTCCCCCTGTTATTTCCTTTTGATAACGGGGTAGCTCCCCCGATTTGGAGTCGGGGGAGAAGACAGAAGAGAGACGTCTGAGAAGACACAACCAGACCGTTAGGCCCTGAGCTTCAGCACATGCAGTCAGTCAGGAAAGGGATGCTGGTCATCGAGCGTCAACCGTCGCTTCACGGTTAGTGCTGATGTTCGTCGCAAGTTTGCTTACTGTCAGTTGCTCAAGCGTAGCATACGTGTATGTAATCCCAAGTAGAGGACCTACATGGCGAGACCCGACATAAACACTGAAGCAGGGCAAAAGATCTTGGCGGCACAGTTGGATGCAGATTTTTCAGGCCTAGCTCAGGCCAAGGGCATCCCACTCAAAAGACAAGCTGAGCTGGCACAACTGTCGATTCTGGCCATCTCCCGCTACTCAGCTGTTGCTGACGATCGCCCAGGGCTCAGGACGTTTTGCAAGGACGTCCTTCATCTAGATCCAGCCACAGATGCAGCTCATTTGGTGGAAGTCGCTGCGTTGCT